AATATTATTTATGTAAGTGGCCAGTTCCGGAAACTTATAGTGCGCCCTATGTACAAATAAGCTTGACACGTATACGAAGTTTGGGTTTAATTTTATATGGAATCGTGCATCTACCAATACATTTGATCGAAGATAACAACAATAATACATCAAATCCTACTGAAATCGCAGCGAAGCCGGTAATGACTACAGAAATACTTTTTTGAGCTCCTAACTGTATTGACTAGTAAAGTAATGCTAGATTTCTATAACTCAAACTTTAATATGACGTTGGAGTCAATTATTTATAGCCTCTAACAGCACCGGCTAAATAAGATTAGGAATTAATTTGTTTCGATACAATAGCATACCTTGGTAAAATCGGTAATGACTATGGAAACAGTTTTTTCAGGCCCTAACAGCTTTGGCTAAATTAAAGAAGACTAGAAAAATAACTTGAAATTCAGTATGACGTAAAACCGGTGATGAGATGCAAACAATTTTTTAAAGCCCCTCACAGCATTAGCTAAATACAATCATATAAGACTACGAATTATTTTGTTGCAATGCAGTAGCATAACATGGTAAAGCTGGTGATGACTATGGAAATGTTGTTGATATCATGTAGTAGAAGGAAAGCGACTGGTTCATTATTTACCACGGCGGAACGGAGAAGTACTGGTTCATCTGCCATTAGAATTTCGATATTTTCGGGATCTTCATTGCCATCACCACTAGCTCCTTAGTCCAATTATCGTAATACTGGTAGATAATGTCTGGTAAATTATTGTTGACAAAGTAGGTAGTTTATTTTGAAAATCTCGGTATTAACTATTGAAACTTCGCCCGAATTCCGCTTCTGCCAATCGATGTGGTTCACATGGGTCTGTATGTAAGTAAATGATATTCTTCGTCATTTCTACATTTGAGCTACTTAAAAAATGTAGAATTGGCGTAAAATAACCACTAATAAAACTGCCATAAAATTATTCTTGAGATTTAATTATTTGCTACCCAATTCGTAAATTTAATAATAACACATACTATTATTGGAACTTAAATCATGAAACGATTACTGTGAAAGTAAGCACTTAATTAATCGAAAGTAAGGTCTAAGAGCATGAAATCCACGTCCGTAATAAAAATGGCCTTGCAAATGGCAATTTGGTTTAGTCAAACAGGTTTTTATTGAGCGCTATTTTTTTTTATATTATGTGAGCAGCAAGCAAGCACACGGCACGCCTGATGGAAAGCGGTAACCGTCGCCTGTGAACACCTGCAACACCAGAGGCGTCACGAGCGCGTTGCCAACCCTTTAGGATCCTTCTCAAACGCCCTTTGAAGGGCTATGTTCAAGTAGTACAAATAATGCCGTACTGTCTTTTCTTACATTATCTATTAGTACCGAGGTCACTCGTCGAAGTATTCGTCAACCTCTTGAAGATGCAGAGATTCCTGGAGGAGCTCTGGCGCCCGAAGTGAGAGTCGTTACGTTGTTCAGTTGTGGAAACCAGCCGATTCTACCATAACATACATTACCTAGTAACGGAGACCATTATGGGCAACGTAATACTAGACAGCCACAATATACGAACTATTACTCCTGCTGCTAGGTACGCGCCTTCTCTAAGAGGTCTTAGTTCATAATTATTACGTCAACGGCAAGTGAGATAATGCGGGTGAGTACTTAACATGTCTCCGGAAAGTTATGTTAATTTTCTACAAGAAGATGTTTTCCTTTATTGTTACAAAAGTGATAAATAAAAAATTTTACTGCACATGAATCGAAAATATTTAAGGAGTGTCATACTTAATTTCGACAAACACTATTTCGACTCGACAGTACTTGGACTACACATTAATTCGACGGAACATTATTTCGACAAAACATACTATGTTCGACAGGTCACTAGTCCGACAGAACACTGATTCGACAACACTTACTAACGATAGGTCACTACACCGTCAAAAAACTGCTTAGACAACACATGTATTTGACAGGTCACTATTCGACTACTTAGGGACCACTTCTTTTTTGAGCGGAATATCTCATATACATAAATGTGTCTGAAAAATTATCTGTGAATTTCATGTTCTGTCAGAATAGTAACTTGTCGAGTACATGTGTTGTCGAAGTAGTTTCCTGTTGGTGTCGTGCCCTATCGAATGCTTATGTTGCTGAGGCAGTGTTCTGTCGAAGTAGTGTTCCGTCGAATTAATGTGTAGTCGAAGTACTGTCGAGTCGAAATAGTGTTTATCGAAATTAAGGATCACACTCGATTTAAGTAGTGATTGCGGGATGACTTGGTGAGAATCAAACACACTCCTAAGTATCAGGCAAGAGTTGTTCTAAGCAAGGACTGTCTGTTTAGGCTTTTATATTAATTTCCCCTTAAAACTCTGAGGTGCAGAGTAACCTGTAGCCGAAAGTCCCCGTACCTAATTATGAAACTTAATACAGTTCCTTGTACTCGCCCTTGTTTTGATGTATTTTTATGTATTTTTGCTTGTCGAAACGTAAACCACAATGCCAAAACGATTTCGTACTGCCGCTTAGGGTTTCCAACGGAATATTTCTGCGATCTATTTTGTAACACTAACTCGCTCAGTCCATTTCGCTCACTCGTTTGCGGTGGAAGCATTTCTATGAGGTTTACCGTTATGAGTCAAACGACGTTTGTTCCGCTTATTGCCCTTTCGCAGTGGAAGGCAGGCATTACTGTGTTCGGATTTTAAAGGGCACTGGTGAAACTACAGGTACTCCATTTTATGTCTCACAGTGACGGTTGCAGTGGCAGTGCCGCTCTGCTCTGAGTGCCACTGCAACTGTTATGGGCAGGGGTGTGACTTACCACCTGGCGCACCACTCGTTCTTCCGTTAGTTGATATCATAAAAAAAGTAAAACGAAAATTGTAACATAGAACATTTATTATATCTCACTCATTCCTTCATAGTATCGTCGATTCGTAAATTCACAAGAAAACGAATGTTTGAAGGCAATATAATATTATTATTAATTAATTATATCGCAACTACATTATATACGTGTTCTATACAAGATGCCATAGAGTCTTATTTTAAATTGTTATTCTAACACAAAATAAAATAAATAACTATTCCCCTGTCACAATATATATGCTTTATATTATGTACACTTATATATATAAATTTTATTACGTTACATAAGTTTTTACATTGAAATAAGTAGTACGAACTTACGTATCTAAAGGCGTGTTTAACATTGCCGTATACATTCAGATTATTTTTTCCTCGATGTAACATCAAGTTATATTTAGCGAAAAATATTTGTCAATACTCGACATTATGGAACAAATATTATAATCTCGACGTTACTTTGGAATACGAAAATGTCTGTAATAGAGTAATTTAAATCAAAAATATTTTTAGTCTTTATTTTACTTTGGATTCAAACCTGACGTTCTAAAATTCTTTGACGTTCTAAAGTTCTAAAGGTCGTACATACCTTCGTGTTCCAAAGTATTGTGGGACCATTTTGTATCTATGTATATTAAGCTGACATAAACGCCTCGACAAAGTGGTAATTTACAATGTTTCATATCATTCAATCAAGTGTAAACATACATGTGCCCTTTAGAGCGACTAGACATAACTTACAATATTAACGGAAAAATGTTATTTATATATTTCGATTCAGTATTTCATGGTCTTAAAAATAATTTACTTACGTACGTTAGTTTCATAGATGACGATACATATTAAAATGTTTTTATAACGTGACGTCATCAGTCCGGTGGGTGCCCACAAGTTCAGTTCTACTAATGACAATAGTGAACGTGCTAGTGACTATACAATACAACTAACGGTAAAAATAGGAATCTTTGCGTCTTAAATCTAAATACTACTTTCTCACTACAGGGTTGATCAATTTAAGTGAACGGAAAATCTTGTAGCTTGTAACCAAGCTTTAAAGGCTCGATTTCATTGAGCGAGTTTACTAGCTACTGGCCAGCGAATTTACAAGCTTATAGTAAACTTGTCCAGTGTAATCATGTTTACTAGGTAACCGGGCTACTTTACTCGCTAATCGCTGGGCTTCTTAGCTAATAAACTAGCCCAAATGATGCAGGCATCATCACAGTTGCTATTCAAATAGTGCGACTAAAGAACAACAACGTACTGACGACACGTGGTTTAAACTGGCTAACTATCAGTAGCCAACGCTACTGATCGAATGGAATGTTTTGTGTGTCATCATCACTAACGCACTAGCTGAAGTCAGCTTCTAAACTTGCTAGCTATAAGCTACTAAAGTCACTCAATGTAATCGAGCCTTTAGTTTATTTTTTTTAAGTTTAGTGATAAAATAGCAGAGCCCATACTCGAGCATTTTTTAGGGTGCTGGTATGGCAAGCCACACACACATAATTAAAATTTAGCTCAAGGTACAATTTTTATTTATATTTTTACATTTATTTCAATCTTATGTTTATTATATTTTAGATTTTTATTTATTTATTTATTTATTCATGGAAAACCAACAGCTTCTTACATTTAATAAAAACAGGAGCATAAACATAAAGCCAATTACAGGTTTCCTCCTATAGCTTCAAACAAATCATACATGATTTACGTAATTTTATTTTATTTTTAATGTTATTTTATTAACTTTTTAATTTTATTATATTTTTACAAGTATTAAACTGTGTAAACTAACATAGTACATACGGTTTATGTAAAAGTATCTAAACACAACATAGGACTATGTTGTGTTTAATAAAAAAAAATATTATTATTAACTTTATCTGCGACATAAGTACAATGTGATATAGGACGATACATTGATTTTGTTTATTTTTTTGAAAGGAACAAAAGAGAAAATTTTTATGTGTCTATAGTCGCCGCACGTTCCCCTATGCCATTGCATCTTGTCTAGCTATTAAGTACTAAGTATTTTAAGGCCAATGTAATGGCGGATGCGTATGCTTATTATGCCTATCAACAACTCTGCAACCAATAGTGACAATAAGCACATGGCAGTCTCTATTCCTGCTCTCCGAACACAGCCACTTGACTCTTGATGAGCAGACAGAGTGTCGAGTATATGAGTACCCTCGGAATTTCATGGTCTTAGCTCCGTTTTGATTTGTGAAGAACGCTGGGCGATCTGGGTCTGCAAGGAATATTCGTGTTAGTACCTATAAATAAAAGTGTGGAAAACATACTAAACAAACGATTTGGTTAAAAATATAACAATTTATACAGAAAAGTATTATTTTCGTGACAGGCGATAGCGCTAGTAGATCATATATGTATAGTAAGTCATATTTATTATCTACAGTGGAACTGATAAAGAACCTTCTGAAGTTAACTGGAGACCGGCTTAGATTGACGCACAACACAGTAATACTAAACGCACAACACAGTAATACTAAAATGCGTATGGCAAGTCGCGTGGAAGGTAACAAGGCTGATTACACATGGCTCCGCGACGCCGCAAGAGTTGCGGCGTTATACTTCTGCACCAGCGGCCCGACTGCTGCCCATGTGACGTGATCATCTGAAATCTTACCGTTACAAGTAACGCCACCGCTGCGGTGCAGGTATGAAAGTGTGTAAACAAATACAAGTTGTTACGGCACCATGTGTAATCAGCCTTAGCGCAGCCTCACGTTTCGCGCTTCTGAGTAAGGACTAAAGTTAATTGCACCGGGTTGCATATTTTCCTAACAACATAGGTAAGAAAGAGAGGTGGGGGAAGAGGTGTAAGAAACATCACAACTAATAAATTTTATGATCGTTTATTATCTATGAAACAAAACTTGACAAGTAATCATTTATAATCAGTTAAAACGACAAGTCAAATAAAATAAAAACACAAAGAGATAATTCATTTTCTGAATAAATCAAAAAGATATTTTAATATTAAAGTCAGCAGTACTGTCATTTTTAATACGCGACCTTGCGTGAGGAGTATTTGATATTGTGACTCGATACCTACAACAAGCTAAACATTATGCCTAATAAAAAACAATAACAACAAACATAACAATTTCCCCAATAGTCCCTAAACGCATGATAATAATAGTCGTCTATAAATTTACTCCAAGATAAAAACCTTAATTTGAAATGCAGAAATTACGACCAGTAAAATAAAATATAAATTACTACGTTTTGAAGTGTGCATTTGAGCTCCAAAGTCCTAGGGCACCAGCTTATGTTATACGTATCAGACACTAGCGCCATAACGCATATTATAAATAACCTAGTACACACGCCAGCACATCAAGCTACACATTGACGTATCTTGTTCCGTTGCACTGCAGGCGAATTTCGAACAAAAATATGTAGTCTGATATGCCGTTGTCCGTACATCGGAGGCTATTACAACAACTTCGCCACAAACTGCCATTGCAAAAATGATGTTGTGTTGTACAACTACGCCGTCGCCGTCAAAACAAACCATAATATTATTAATTTTGTGGAGTATTCAGTTTCTTCTTAACATAGAAAGCTCCGGACCTTTATCTCCCCTTTTTTCTTAGTTCTTTGGTGTTATATTCATTTTCCATTACGTATTCTGTTTCCTCATTAAACGTATCTTCAGCTGGTACAAAATCAAGTCCGAAGAAATGATACAAGTCTTTTATATACTTTTCTGTTTCTTTATCGTGTGTCAAGTAATAAATAATAATATTCTTAGTTCCCACTGACAAAACTAACTGAATGACATTAATGAAAGTTGTATAGGTTTTCATAACCGCAGCACTACTACTAAGGTTAGCAACCTTTAGTGTTTAACACTTTAGTTGTTATTTTTCTTCGGACATATATTCAGACAATTTTTCCTTGAGCGTCTTTCTGATACGGTACGCCGAGGAGTTTTTTCTCCACCTTTTTCTCATCGCTTTTTTTTGCTTTGGTGTCATATCCTTAACTGACAATAAATGTTTATCCTGTTTACGCTTTAAATATCGTAATCTTTCTTTTTCTCTTTGTTGCTGATATAAAACTGGGTCGCTCTTGATTAACGCATATTTTTTTCTTTTGGCAATCCTCTGTTTCATTTTCGTATCTAAAAGATTAATATTTTGTAAGAGTTGAAATTTGAAGGAAGCCATTCAACAAGCTGGAAAATAAACGATTAAAAAGGGGTGGTTCTGAATCGCTTGCCAGCACATTAACGTTCCATCCACTGCAATATTAGTGGATAAAATAAAACATGTTAATATTCATTATTCTATATTGGTTATATGGATCGACGTCAAATTTTTGAGGAAATTACATTGACTTACAAATAAATGGACGACGGGTCTAATACAAAAACCACGAAAAAAATGTCCCATGTCAACCTATTTAAACGTAGTGACATGTAAAGGAATATGAAAAAGTTAAAACGTTGAATTTAAATTGTAATGTCATCGCAGTACTGTCTAATTTTGCTTGCTTCGCTGTCAGAAGAAACAAACGAAGACTAAAGCGTGAATGACGCTCTGTATACGATTTTAACGCCCTATAAGTCCGGACACTTTTTAGCGCGGACCCGACGTCCATATAATTGTAAGTCAATGGGAAATTATAATAGTTTCAATGCAGTACATTTTGCAGATTAGTTAACTTAGCATTAACTTTAACAGATTGGTTAGCTTAACATTTTAAAATTAAGTTTATCTGCGTCCATGAATCATGAATCAGTATAGAATACAATCGAGAAAGAGTCAGGCGACGAACTATCGTAGTAATGAAAAAACACTTTTTAATTATTTAACAGACTTATATTTTCACTGATCTTTATTGAATATTATGATGAGTTTGTTAATATAATTATTAATACAAAAACCGAATACAAAGAAAAAATCCTTCAGGACTGGAAAGCAGATTTGTTCGACTCGTGACAGGCCGAAGGAATTACTATACTACTATTTTTATATTATTCGTGCATGGAACCAATCACATGAAACGTTAATTGGTGCCCACAAAATATACTTCTAAATAAATTTTAAATAAACGTAAACATGCTCACAAAGGCGTAGTAAACTAATAACAATTATATTATAACAACAATTTTAACGCAAGAAAATAAATAATTTATTACAATTTTGATATTGTGTTTATTTTTCAGATCATCGTCATATAGTTTCATTTTGTATTTCTTATTTGTTCATTATCTTACCCACTTTATTGTTCTTCTTCATCATTTCTACCTCTCTCGTCTACTTCTGTCTTAAATTGCCTCTTTGTGATTTTTTCTGCTTTGTTGCAGAGCAAATTTTTGGGTGCAATCTTTGATTTATTATAACTGCTTTGAAAATATTTATCACAATCAGATTCTGAAAAATTCGTAGTTGACTTTCTAATAATCGGCAGAAAACAATTTCACGTATTGAAAATGCTTTAGTGCAATTTTTATCTACGTTCAAGAAGTGCCAGTCCAAGAACATTTCAGTAAAAAAGTGATCCAATTAATCTATAACATGAATCAATCTTTCTCAATTTCCCTAGAGTAACCATAATAATAATATACATATAAATGTCATGACACCAACCGTTCATGAACACTAATTACGATTTTTTTAATTCTCCTCAAGTTCTTTTAGTTCTTGGACGCTTATTTAAAGGCTTAATATTATAATATTGTAGCACTAGCACGATAGGGCGCAACTAGCGAGAGAGCGATATAAAGCGCGATACACTGCTATTCTCGCATAGAGACATCGCGCTTTAAGACGCTCTCACGCAAGTCGCGTCTTATTGTGCTAGCCCTACAATAATGTTTTAGATTATAACCATATTAGGAAGTACTATCACCTTACCTATGTCAGTCAGTGTGAGCATTACTATGTTCCGGTTATGAAGGGCAATCCTGGTGAAATTACAGGCATATGGGTCTTGTCAACTTACGTGTCAGGGTGACGGGCCTTAGCGATAGCTCTGAGTGGCACTGCAACTGTTATGGATAGGCGTGTCCCTTATCATCAGGCACAAAAAAAATTGTTGGTGCAGTTTGATAATTTTGCATGATTGAATTTATTGGCGCTTGAACCATTTCTTGAAGAAAATCAAGCAAGTACATATACTGGTCGCCTTTTTTGTTGGTTTGATGACAGTTTGGTAGCTGCGCTATTGATGACATTTGTATCTGAAACAACGGTATTTTATATTACACTTTGCAACGAAAAAGTCCCTGAAACAAAAACCTCGATTGTGAAAAAGACTCAATAATGCAAGCCCCCCTGATGAAATCGAAACTTCTTAATAAAAGACAATCGTCCTCCAAATAGTCTATCGCTGCAGTGTTCATATAGCCTCGTGACTGAAAATGTAGTTTTGCGTTTTATTTTCCAAAAGTATTTATAAATTTATCCGAAACTATAACTGAGTGGGATGAAGACGAATGAACGACACAGTTATAGATTTTTTTTTTCAGCGGTAAACTAGTTCTCGGATTTAGTATGAGAATGTATCACGTTCTGAATATACTAATTCTACTTGAGCGTATAATTTGTTGGGAAACTAAATTCGATATTTTTTTATACAAAAAATAAGTGCGCAATTGACCTCCATCAAATGAGATGGAGGTTAACTGTGAATGTACTCCACCCCTGTGTTGTGAGTATTCACAACATAGGGGTGGAGTACATTATCGTGAAATATTAAATAATATTTCAAGAAGGATACTATACCCAAGTATCATGATAATATTAAAAAATATTTAAATTAAAAAAATTGCCAGCGAAATTACGTAGGGAAAACTAAAATGAAATTTACTCAAAACGGCTTTCCTGCTACGTGAGTACCTGAAAATGGAAAAATACACGTTAGTTACAAAACCTTACCCGTGAGAAAAATAATTACTAACCATAGTGCCATTACGTTACGTTCTCTTGATACATATAGATTACACGTCTAATGAATTTGCGCTATTTTCTTAAAATATAATTAATACAACACATTTACACAATATCATATGTATTTTAAATACATTGAAAGTCAAATTATACAAATAATTGATAGCATTAATTACATTACTTAAAATCGTTCGTGATAGGCGCAGATCACGTTCCAAGGAAACAAGTTATATGATCACCTTACACAACATTTTGTTTATTTCAATCACATTGTTTTTTCTGTGTAGTTATTATATACATTTTATACTCCATATCACACACTGAGAAGGACAGACGGGAAGTAAAACTGTAATAGATATGGTCTGCCATAAATATTTATGTACATATCTACTCGCAAAAACCAACCGAAACATTATGAACGATCATTGACTTACAAATAAATGGACGACGGGTCTAATACAAAAACCACGAAAAAAATGTCCCAAGTCAACCTATTTAAACGTAGTGACATGTAAAGGAATATGAAAAAGCTTTTAAATTGTAATGCCATCGCAGTACTGTCTAATTTTGCTTGCTTCGCTGTCAGTCGAACAAAAGAAGACTAGAGCGTGAATGACGCTCTGTATACGATTTTAACGCCCTATAAGTTCAGACACTTTTTAGCGCGGACCCGACGTCCATATAATGTAAGTCAATGTGAACGATGGTCTTTTTTATGAGTATGTATTATGTAACACGAGGTTTGTTTCTGGATTATCAATATTATTTTGTAATTAGTTCTAACATAAAAACATGAAACACTTTATTTCCCTGCAAAAACTTTGCTTCTGTGGTCACCATAAAGGAAACGTACAAATTTTCGGGTTTCTTTTTATTTACATACAAAAAGGGAACATTATATTTCAAATCAATAGTTACACTAATACAACGCACACAATTATAGCTCCGCACTAGGAAAACCCTGTCTCGCGGGTACTATGGACACACACATAGAGTACCACAAATTATACCCAAACTCACGAGAGAATTAAATATAGGCCATACAAATATTTACCCGACCTGGGAATCGACCTCAGCGTGACAGTTCAGCACGGCAACAGTTCGGCCACGGTGGCAGTTGATGACAAGGAGCCTAGAAATGTGTAGATTTACGAGATTCTGTAAATACCACTTGATAGCCACAAAAGTATAGTTTCAGGGTTGTGTGGTGGGCTACTCTTTTCTACATACTCGTTAGTCAATTAAACATAAATCGAATATAGTCAAACTAGAAACGCAATCTTTTTGAACCTTTGTTACATGGTCAAAAAACGTCAAAAAAGAGAATGACTAGGAGGAGATCAGTAGCGGTGACATTATGTGATTGCAGTTCTACTGTAAATGCAAAGGTTATCGATTGTAACAAATTTTCCTATTCCTATTCTGGACTGCAATGCCCTGCTGTGATGGTAGTAATGGTGGTAAATGGTCATGAACATCATTTTTGACATAAATTTCATTGCCAACAGTACTGAGAGTCGCGTTGCAGCCTCGATGATTGGAACAACACCTCCAATGCGTTTTGAGTCCAAAACTTCTGTGCTTATGAAATTTGTACCCGTAGAAAATAAGAATAGGGTTGCCTTTTGAAGATTTTGCGATGTACGGACCTGAAAACAAAAACGGTATTAGTACAGTCTTCTTCTTATTTATTAGTGGCTTGTTTTGGTATTAGTAAAGTGTTTTTTTTCTCAAACATGCTCGGAAATGTTCGCATTACTTTAAAAAAAAGAATACGGATAGTTTGCAATTTATGGGCTGTGTGACTTCTTCCCGGCCAAGGCCTGCAAAGTAAGTATGATTTCATACATTACTTGTCCACTGCTCTAAACTTTTAAATCTATCTAGCAATTGACTAACAATGAATTATTTAAACAGGCATAAGAAAAACTCATACAGCCAACTGCCCAGTGGTCGTAATTTCGAGAATTAAAATCTGTACCGCTTACTTTATCAAAAAGTGTAAGTATTGTTTTCCGTTTTTTCTTTTTTTTGTATTTTCGTCGCGAAAATGAGTACTAGTGAGAAGAGCGATAATAAAAATAACAGTAATGGATTGTACGCTTCCTAATTTAAAACAAGAGGCAATATTAGCCAAATGTCAAATATTAATTTTAATTTTTTTTTTACTTTTTCTATTATACATCTTCCTCTTTAGTCTTTTATTACTTTCTATTCACATTGTTTGAAAAAGCATTATATATGCCTCGGCGGGAACGGGGATACCGGACTCGTATTAATACAACAAAATTGTAACTCATAGTCGTCCGGCAATCTCTTACTTTCCGGCCTCTGCAATAATATACTATTCATTGGGTGTTTAAATGCAACATCGTTCACGTAGTTGAAATACATCGATGAGGCTGTGTAGTCAATGTTGAAATAAAACCACCAATACTCGAGAATATTTTTCACGTATTTAATACAAAAATAAAGCTTCACGAAATAATTTTCGTCAAAGTGACTAGTTTAACAACAGTATAGAAATCACAATTATGACTAATTTTCACACGGTAATAATATATATGCAATAGAGCAAATATGAAAGGAGTAAATACTATACACTATAAATCGAACGAATATAAAATGGTATTGCTTCCATTGTCTTTGCAAAGACATTAAAAGTTATTGGCAATGAATGAAACATTACGTCTTCTACAAGAAATATTGAATACAATCGTATAGTAACACGTTCATTAGCGTAATAATTTACCAATATTGTAATAGCAATTCTGTCGGAACGCAAAAGGGCACAACTGTCGTATAAAGCACGCATAGTTGTGCCTTTTTTCGTTACGAGGGCAGAATTAGAGATGTGTAAGTAATGCAAGTAACATTACAATTTGTAATATCACGCGACAAGGTAATGTGAGATCACACATCGTTTTGGAAAATGAAGCATCACTCCTAACATCACCCGACACAATACAGAATATAAATTACATTTTATATAATAATTTATTGATGCACGATATTATTTATTTCGGTCAAAGTAATATAAAGGTTACATAAATCCTTTTAATAGTGAATAATCTATACTGCTATGTTATTTAAGAATTGTAATAGTTCATTTACACTGTATATTATGTATCCCTCTAGGAGTGGTAGAAATATTTCTTGCCAAACAAGCACGGAACACTGCAATGCGATTGATGATAATAACTGCAATGCAATGTGATGGTAATATTACGGAGTGATGTTTATAACACCTGTCGTTTTTAGTCCGTGTGATGCAAGTGATGGTAATATCACACTGTAATGTCATTGATGGTAATGGCAAAGCAAGCACGGAGTGATGCAGTGTTGCCAGATGGTTACATTTTAGCAACTATTGACCATCTCGCGTAATATAAGTAGCTTTTGTTTTTAAGGCAATTTTCGTAAATTTCGAGAACGACAGGATTTGTTAAATTCAACCATATTTGTTATTGTAAATCCCAAATAGTTTACAAATGCACCTAAATTAGATACCTAAGTAACTCAAAGAAGACGCAAACAATATTAAACCAGCCAATTTACTTTTACTGAAAGATATTTTGATTAAAAAAACTAAAATGTATCTTAATACCAAAAATGCAACTTTTCAGGTATCGAAACGTAATTTCTTATTCAAGAGCCTTGGCAACACTGGAGTGCCATCACTCTAAAGCTAAGAACGCATCTCAGAGTCTGTGTGATGTTTTGGGTAATAGTGATATCACAGTGTAATATTACGTTTACGGGAATGTAATGTTATATTACATTACTTTTCGAGGTACATTTTGAGCATGCCTAAAGCGACGAGGTGTAAAATCCTCATACTAAAACCTTTACTGATGCATAGGGTTTGTTTCTGTGTAATAAAAATTTAAACCTTATTTCTGTACAATTAAAAATGATTAGTATGCTTTTAAACTAAAAAATTTGCAATGACTATAAAAAAGTAGTGATTTTGATATAAAAAATATTCAGAAGCATTAAAGCAAAATAAAACTTACTATATAATTACGGCAAAAACATTGACACAAATGCTCAGTTAGACCCTTCTTAACAATTCAATAGGAATTAGTAATATTCGTACTTAATATACATGTATCAAAATACAAACAACCATCAAAATTAAAAGATCAAATGTAAATAATATTACGAAACAACAAACTTTGGCTTAAATCTACTTATGTATGTAGGTCCTATCAAATTTATAATCATTTGTTTTTTAACTTATAACATTCGGGTATAAAATGCGCGCGTTTAATTCAGGTGCGTAATTAGCGCTACATCTGCCTTAACCTTTCTGAGTGTCATTCCTTTGAATTTAAAAAAGTCTTCTTACCCATAGCGAAAGGTACAGATTTAAAGAAGGCAGGCAGACGTAGAAGGTATGCAACAAATGCTGCAATGCAAGATATTTTCCCTTTCGATAACATCATTTCATAACTGGTTTTTGGGACACTGTACAATTATTATACCTATGTAAATTTTGTTATGTTTATAATAAATACATAAAGGTCCCGGGTTCAATTCCTGGTACCACCAATTTGAGAAGTGAACTTTCATCACACTAGCTCGTAAGTAGTAGTATAACATGCACCAAAACTAGACGTATTTTATCGTACGCCCCTAGGGCAGTAATGGGCTTTTTCTTTTATTTCTACTCTCCCGCCGCCGCCGCCCTGGCTAGGAGTAAAGGGAGCCTCGCATCAAATTCGTGCTGCGATCCCAAATTGCAGTGTAGCTTTTGATTTAATTTTTAAAAGCAGACATAAATACAGTCGGCGTTGTTTCGTTTATAATTTTTATATACTCATAAGTAACTTATACTTACGTTTCAAAGATTTTACTTATTCATAGGTAAAACCAAATCAAAAAGAAAACTTTTTCAATGCTGAAAACTTTTTTTATAACATTTATTTGTGAGATTCTTAAAAGTT